AAGAGGAGATGGCCTTCCTCCTGGACTGGGGAGGGAGAGTCTTGCCTGGAGGGTAGGTGATCTGAGTGCCAGTCCTGACCCCCACTCACTAGTGTGTGAACTGCAGCTCGTATCTGGCCTCCCCAGGACTTCCACAAAGAAGGGGGTCAGGCAGGTGTCTCCAAGGTTAGCCCAAGACCCATGGCTTCAAAACCACAGCTGGTAGGTGCCTGAAATCCCCAGAGAAGAAGGGGTTGCCATGGCCATCCCCCAGGGGGTAATTTCTCACTTTCCCTCTCTCTCTAGCTCCCTTTTCTTTTCTTTTTTCTTCTTTCTTTCTTTCTCTTGTTTTATTTTGCTGGAGGGTGGGCACACTCATCTGCTTTCCTCCTCCACCTGCCTCGGGCCGCACCTGCACCCTACAGCAAACTGAGAAAGAAAAGAGGGGGTCAGATCTTATGTCCCCCAAGGCTCTTTTGCACCCCCACTCCCACCTGCCAGGCACAGCCTCAGCTCCTCTTCATGAAGCACCTACTATGTGCCAGTTACTGCTGGGCGCAGTGGACACAGCGGAGGGCCGGATCCCCAGCCTCCCTCTAGCTCTGGGGGCAAGATGGACATGAAGCAGACCCTGACCCCGCCTGCTCGCACCTGTGGTGGTTGAGGGCCTGTGACAGGGTATGACGGGTCAGCCAGCAGGGATGGCTCCCAGAGTCAGTGACATTTGAGCTGAAACTGAAGTGGCAGGGTTGGCAAGGAGGTGACAAGGGCCAAAGCTTGAGGGCAACAGAAACTGGGAACATTAGGAAAACGAAGAGAGGCCAGCGTTGGGGGTAGAGACTGCGCCCGAGTGGCCGGGGAAGAGGGGGAGGGCGGCAGGCTGGGCAGGGCGGCAGGCTGGGTGTGATGGGCTTGGCACTGTGGGCTGGGCATAGTGGGCTTGGGCATGGTAGGCTGGGCACTGTGGGCTGGGCATAGGTGGCTTGGGCACTGGGCTGGGCACGGTGGGCTTGGGCACTGGGCTGGGCATAGTGGGCTTGGGCACTGTGGAGGAGGTCCGTCCCTGCCCCAAGGGCAGGGGAACAGGAAGGGGTGTGAGTAGAGGATGACCCGGTTCAGTTCAGCCTCCCTGTTGGAAGCCTCCTGGTCTCCCAGGGGCCTGGCCTGCAGGGATCCTGCATGGAGGCCTGGCTCTGTTCGCAGCTCTCTAAGCCTCAGTTTCCTTTTCTATAAAGTCCGATTATGATCCCTGTGGCTGTGGCAGCTGAGGGCTGTGGGTGGCACAGTTCTGGGTTCAAGTTTCCCTTACAAGCTGTGAGACCTCAGGCGGTGCTTAACGGGTGGGGGCCTCTCAAAGGGGCAGGCCAGCCAAGAAACTCGGGGTCTCTGTGCTCTCCCACCTGGCCTCCCTGGCTCCCCAGATGGGGCTTCAGGAGAGGACCTCAAGATCTGGAACCTTCTCCATGAGAGGGGAGGTGGCAGCCACTCTGCTGGCCACAGGAATCCTGGCCTGACACTGGGGAGAGGGAGGGGAAGGGAGCTGGGGGCCGAAGTAGGGGCCTACTCCTGCCTCCTCCGCTCCGGGTTCTGGGGACCCTGGCTACTGTGGGGAGATAGCGGTGGCCCGTGGTGAAGGAGGCCCAGCCGAAGAAGCCGAGTCCCCTTGCTGACTGCAAAGGAAAACAGAAAGCTGCAGAGGGACAAGCTGGCATGTGGCGAAGAAGCCAGGCATGGTGGCTGCACCCAAAGTCCCAGCAAAAAAGCAGGAGGATTACAGGTTTGAGACCAACCTGAACATCATAGCAAAACTCCGTCACTGGGGCCGGCAGATGGCCTGGTGGTTGAGGGTGTTGTACTCCCACATGGCTGACTGCGGTTTGAGTCCCGAACCTGATGGCTTGTTTTCTCCACCCCCCCACCGTTAAAATTAAAATAAATTAATTAATTAAGTTAAATAAAATTGTAAAAACAAAACAAAAAACAAACCCTGTTGCTAAAATAAATAAGCAGGAGAAGACTGGAGTGGGGCCCAGGAGAACCTAGCCTCAGCACAGCACTGCCCGGCTCTATGCCCCTGAGAGGGTTCCGTCTCTACCTGTGGGCCACGAGAGGACAGATCACTGCACCTGGGTGTCAAACCATCTGCCCCCGCCCAGCCCCACCCCTGCAGGTTAGGAAACACAGAACACATCGGCCTCCCGGCCCGGGATCCCAGTGCTAAGGAAGGCCAAACAGATCAAGAACTGCCACCCTGGCCCCGAGGCCCTGTGTCTTCTGGGCTGACCCAACCTCCCAGCCCGCGTTTTTTCCCCTGCCAGCATCCGATACTCCTGCCATCAATACACACGGGGCGAGCAGAGGAGTATGTGGAGGAGGAGGAGGAAGCAGAGGACGGAAGATGGGCAAGATGGGCTTCGAGGAACTGCCCTCCCCCGAGGCACCCACTCCCGCGCAGGACACTCAAGGCCCTGGCCAGTCAGGTCCATCCCTCCCTCCCCCCTCTGCCTTCCCCCAAACCTAGGCCTGATTTCCTGCCACATGGGACTCACGGCCTGTCCTCACACCCTCCTGTCACCCTCCTGCCTCTGAGCCTTGCCTAGGCTGTTCCCTGGCAAGTCTCTGTGCTGGCATCCAGGATGGAGCTGGAGCAAGGGGCTTCGAGAGGGTGTGCGAGTGTGTATCTGCTGTGTACCTGGGAGGGTGTGGGGGCACCCTTCATTAGGCTTTTAGCACAATCAGGGGTTATGAGCACATATGCATATTTGCATGGATAGCTATGCATGTGCATAGGTGTGTGTGCATTATGTGCATAAGCATGGCCATGCATGTACAGGTGCATAACTAAATAGCACCACACATGTACTCTTCCTATGCATGTATGCATTTGTGTTTGTGCACATGCATTTGTGTGTATGCATGTGGATCTTGGTGCATGTTGACACATGTCCATTTCACATGCCTGTGTGTAAGTTTATACTTGGTTTTCAGTGCACATTTATAGCTAGGTGAACATTTATGTGAATGTGTTTTTTCCTTTTTTTTTAAAACTGGAGAGTGGATGCAATCACTAGAGAGATGGAAAGAGGAGAGAGAGAGAGAGAGAGCACTTCCTTATGAGGAGGCATGGTCGTGCCAGAATCCCTTCTCCTCCCTCTCTCCAGCTGTTGGGGCTGTGGGGTATACACACACACCCGCATGTTTCATCAGCCACTGGGTCTGGGACTCAACCTGTAGTTGGCCACGTGGGACCCAGCTCCTTCGATCACAAGGCCATGGGGCCAGCTCCTGTGGGTGTGTGTTGGCACCCAGCACAGGCCTCTCTGTGGGTGCATAGATTGCACAGGTGTGGATGAAGTGACCCTGAGAGTCCGTACAACTGATGTGTGTATGTCTGCACGCATGGGTGCAGAATTCCCGCACACCTTGGTGGTTTCTGTGTGTGCACGTGTGTACCTCCTCTGCACACATGCACATGAGTGTGGGTTGCTTCTGCAAGTACATGCACATTTCTGTGGGTGCTTGTGTTTGCCACCACGCACATTCCAAGTGCACACACGGTGCCCTGTGTGTGATCACACAGTTATTCAGGGCACTGGAGGAGGGTGTTACCCTGTGTTTCTGCCTGGGGCTGGAGGACAGAGCCGGGGGTGGACTTGGCTCCTGGGTGCCTGGTGGAGGATTCCGCTGAGGAGGGAGGCAGAAGCCAACCAGGGCCACCCATTGGCCCCCTCACCCTTGTCTGCCCTGCACCTGGCTGGGCTTCAGGGAAACAGCCTCTCCAACCCATCCAGGCCTCAGGGCTAGCAGAGCAGGAGAAGCAGGTGGCCTTGACAGCAGGCAGTGGCCTCCCCTCGGCCCCTTGCCAAGGGAGGCTCTCTGAGCCTCTGCTGCAGCTGCTGTGCCCCACCCTGAGCGCGTGCCGCTCACACCTGCGGCCAGTTTGCTGCTGAGAGCATCCGGCTCCAGGGCCAGGTTGGGGCCTGCTTGTGCCTTTCCATCCCAACTCTCTGGCTTGAAGGTCCAGGCTGGGCAGGGCCAGGGTACTCCTCCTCCATTACGAGAGCTGCCTGGGAAGGCAAGGAGGGCAAGCCTTCTTTACACTCGCGCATCTGCCCGCGTGTCGTGGAAAAATCAGTTCTTCCGCTGTCTGTGGAGACATTCCCAGCCTGTCTGTGATGCCCTCCCACCCACCACAGCTTGCCCTCTGCCCAGGCTCCCTCTCCCTCTGCACTTCCCGCCAGCCCTGTACCTGGGATTGGGCAGTCAGCCCCTGGTGTAGCACCTGGCCTCTGAGGACTTTGGGTCACCTAGAGCCCTCCTCTCCTGCTACCACGAGGAAACCCTGGCCAACAGGCTGGCCTTCCCCTTCCTTCATTGGATCAACCCAGGGATCTGCCTTGCCCCTGCACCATGAATCACCCTGACCTGGTCACTGCTGTCAGGCCCTACTTGTGAAGCCTGAAGTTCAGCCAGCCTGGCCTCGTCCCACCCCCCACCCTCCCCACATCTGGCCTGCAGTCTCCTGGGAAGTACTTTCACTTGCCACCTTGTCCTGGACTTCTCCGTCCCCTAGGTTCTTCCCCCAGGACTCCTGTCTACCACTTTCTGTCAGACATCTTGTGACAGTCCCATTCCAGACTAGCCTCACGAGACACGACTTCTGCACAATGACATCTAGACCTCAGACCAGCCTCATCACAACCGCTGCCTCTGGCACCCCTTCGATTGCCCTGCTCCCTCTCTGCGTGTCCCTTC